GATATAGCAGGACGGATGGGTACATGTCATGTAGTACGAAGGATGGGTACATGTGATGTAGCAGGATGGATGGATACATGTGATATAGCAAGAAGGATGGGTACATGTGATATAGCAGAAAGGATGGGTCCTTGTGATGTAGGAGAAATGATGGGTCCATGTGGTATAGCAGGAAGGATGGATACATGTGATGCAGCCGGAAGGATGGGTACATGTGATATAGCAAGAAGGATGGGTACATGTGATATAGCAGAACGGATGGGTACATGTGATATAGCAAGAAGGATGGGTACATGTGATATAGCAGGACGGATGGGTACGTGATATAGCAGAAAGTATGGGTCCATGTGATATAGCAGGACGCATGGTTAGATGTGATATATGAGGAAGGATGGGTACATGTGATATTGGAGGAAGGATGTGTACATGTGATGTAGCAGGACGGATAGGTACATGTGATATAGCAGGAAGGATTGGTACATGTGATATAGCAGGAAGGATGGGTACATGTGATGTAGCAGGACGGATGGGTACATGTGATATAGCAAGAAGGATGGGTACAAGTGATATTGCAAGGAGGATGGGTACATGTGATATTGCAAGGAGGATGGGTACATGTGATATAGCAAGAAGGATGGGTACATGTGATATTGCAAGGAGGATGGGTACATGTGATATTGCAAGAAGGATGGGTACATGTGATATTGCAAGGAGGATGGGTACATGTGATATTGCAAGGAGGATGGGTACATGTGATATAGCAGAAAGAATGGGTACATGTGATATTGCAAGGAGGATGGGTACATGTGATATTGCAAGAAGGATGGGTACATGTGATATTGCAAGGAGGATGGGTACATGTGATATAGTAAGAAAGATGGGTACATGTGATATAGCAAGAAGGATGGGTATATATGATAAAGCAGGAAGGATGGGTACATGTGATATAGCAGAAAGGATTATGTGATAGAGTGAGACGGTTATAATTTATGTAACGGATAAGCGTGGTAGAACAAGAAGGATTCAAACGCTGACATGAATGGATTGTTGGTATACATGACTGTATGGGTGAATGGGATAGATATGGAGCTGGATGAACTGGTGTGTGAGATAGGGTAATTTATTATGGCTGTTCCCTTATGTACATGCATTGATCACCTATTCTCACGAAACATGTACCAGTGCGAGATGGACATGTACACTGTTTAAAATTAAAGTGTTTATATCATAATGAAAACTCGTGTTATGAAACGCAACCTTTATTAGTCAAAGAACAAGAAATATCAAAAGTCAAGGTGTGGTGTTATGTCTCTAACATTCAGAGTAAAGCACATGCCCTTGTTTCTAAATTGTAAGCTAGTGACCATAATTATGAACAACGACATATGAAATTGAGATCAAATACAAACACACAAAACCTTTGGCTAACTTTTGCAATAAACTTTAGCTTTCATTGTGTAACTTCCTCGAAATGTGGTCCTTCAGATTCAGTTCTGTGACATTTTTATCACGACTGCTGATTCTCTTTTCACTGGCAGAGTGGAGACCAGTTTTTCAGAAATGATATAACAAAGAAATTAACAACATGTCCATATGAATAACACCAACATCCAACAATATAACCACCAATCATGAACAGCTACACGATTCAAACCAGTGTTGCATATACTTTCAACTGACGGTAACGTACATTACACCTTTCCGTCCGTGGTAGATTACATAAACATATTGTCAGGAACAAATTTCCTAACATATGGAAACTATCATAACCGGTTTCAAACGAAACCTATAACTGCAGAAACAAATTTATATTCTTCCTGCTGTGAATAATCCATAACCATGTAGATTACATGGATTCCTTAAAGAGTCCTGATACACATTCTGTGTCCTCTGCTGTGAACAGGATTGCTCGGCCATACCTGCCCACAGGTTCAGGATCTGACAACACAGAAACCCAGATGGCATCTTCTCGTCTAGGCCACTTGAAATGATGGGCAACCTTGGATGACGTCTTTTTCATGAAGGAAACTAAACAGTCACATTCAGATAGGTCCACATCTACTTTCTGGTCAATATACCATTTCTATTGGTACACAACTGCGACACACTGGCCTTGTTGGGGTCGCACAGGGTCATCTGACTGTAAGGGGGCATCTCCTTCCATATGTTCAGGATCAACAGGTGGATTAGCTTCAGAATCTGATCCAGAGGCTTCAAGAGTAACATCTGTGGTGGGTATCTCAGCTTCATCTACATCATTTGTGGAGTTCACGATGTCATACCTTATCCAGTCTGTGTGATACTTGCCATCCGAGCACAGCATGCAATAGCATGATGTTGTTCTAGAAAGGATAACTCCAGGAGATACACCAACAACTACATGGACAGTCATTGTTCCTTTTATGGGCTTGACAGACTTTGTGAGATGCTGAAGGTATATACTTATCGGAGCAATGTCATCAGCTTTCAGGAAGACATAACATGCACGCGTATGAAATGTGGACGTTCTTTGACGTTCCACCAATACCATCGCCCCTTTCCATGTCTGGCCCCACGGTGATTCCAGATCGCTGGGACGCCAAAGAGGTTCTAATGATCTGATACCACATGGAACATGCTCTTGTTCCTATATTGCGAAGGGGGGCTGTCAGTCCAATAATGAATGCATGAAACGGATCCTGTGTCAGCCTGTTGGATGAGCCTGTTGATGGAAGAATAGACTGATCCTGCTTAATGGAAGCTTTGGCATGAATCATCAGCATGTAATTTACGTTACTTTATTATACTGAAAGCCATTACAAACGCATGTTGGCATTCATACTTTCTGAATTCACACAAATGTCAACATATATAAATGTAACTGGCAGATACGTTTTAAGTGAACATCTGTGAATAATTTCATCTGAAAATGTCCAATCAACAACAATATCAGTGACGTAACAACGACATCAAACAAAGGGTTCCTGTCTGGGGACAATGAAGGCCAGTCCATCACACGAACATTCTCATTATTCAAAAGGTCCCTTGTTACCCTGGCTGCATGGGAACGTGCATTATCAAATCCGTTGACGTCCATTTGGCTTTCAGTATATGTAATCAACGTTACCAAAACTAATAATACACAGTAATGAATTTATCATAGATGTACAAAATTGTGATCATTTAAAAAATCTAATGTTTTGTCATGATATGTAATCACGTTACCCAAACTCTACAGCAATTAAACTCTGTCAGGGGATCTATATCATACAGGAGTCAGAATGATGAATTGTAACTTTAGAAAGTCAAAACACATTACCTGCAACGGTTCTGGACTCCAAAACTCATCCACAATATGTTAAATTCCTTTGTTTCAGACTTGCATAAAAACATTAGACATGGCAGGAAGCACTTGGCATGGAAAATGTGAACGGATCATCATCTATTGGTCACATTGTAGAGGGGAAATATTTCCACCTTCAACAGTTAATACACCACCTAGAATAATGACATGAACTGATTTCGTGGTGTTGTAGATTACAGAACGTAAATTACATCAAAGGTTTCAAATATCAATGTTTATTTAGTTATGGACATTAGAGTGAATGTTTAGTGACTGTACGACTGTCAGTATATGCTACCTCATCGCAACATGTGGCAAATAGTTTTGTAAAGTTTATCATGTATGTATGGAATACTGTAAGGGTCATTCTCGCGATCTCGACCTTTGGAAACAAGCTAAAAATGCCAAAAGTGCGAGAATGCGAGATCGCGAGAATGTCCCTTACAGTATTCCATATATATGAGATGTGATGATCATGTAGATTACAGCCTTAGAACAACTTATAATTATATATTATATAAGAGAATACCATTAAAACTCACGGGAAGACTGAAAGAGTGTAGAGGTGACATTATGGAGGGTTGTAACCTATAATTTCACAAACAAGCCTATTTTCCGTAACTAAAAACAAAATATTTCTAGAATTTTTACTTTCATGCAGACTTCTTACATTTTTGTCTCGTAAATTACATGATTTACATCAATTTAGAGACACAATCTATATGTGCTTTTACCAGAGGAAAACAAATTAAACTTGCAGATATGTCTTTCTAACATATATATATAGTTTCAATCTTAAAATGAAGTGAAACTATTATCATCATCTTCGTTAATACATTCGTAGTAAAACTGTAAGTATATATATGTGTATGCCCCAATACGAGACAAGCACAGTTTGGTCATTTGGTGACCAAACTTCATCATATGAATATCATATAATTTTGGCTGGAGCTTTAATGTCAAAAGGTGCAAAAGTCAAGCCCTGTGTAGTCAACCACAGAAATGTGATTTTTACTTGACGTCGTTGAATTTAGTGACTAAAACTGGGTGAGACATGAAATCAGCTAATTGGGACATGGTTCGAGGATAGGTGTGTCAATGAAGGTTTTGAGATTCATGCTATGGACGTTCAAAGACGAAAAATAAGATAGAAACTAATAACCTAACTTTCTGAAGTTTTTTTCACGCGCGGGGGAGGAGGGGACAGACAATAAGGCACAGATTAATAATAATAAAACATTTAAAAGAAAAACAACTAAATGAATACACAATGTAAAAGCTAAATGGATGCCACGTCGATGTCGACCTGATACATGTGTGGCCGATGGTAGAACCAATGAGGATACAGTCCTCGTACTCGTCGCTGCTGGCCGAAGGGAATCTCACAGCCAGTACTGTGTAAATAATGAGGACGTAAAATCAGTTTGTGTGTGCACGTTTTGTTGTTTGTATTTTATAGACAGTACTTTGTTATTGTGGTCAATATTTATTGATGTTATGGAGAAATATTTCTTGGTGTTTTTGTTGTAAGAATGGTCCTTTACATAATTAATACTATTCCACTATTAACAAAGATTATCGTAACCAACAAATGCAAATGTCAAAGCAGCTGCAATGCGCAAATTCTGTTTCACAGAGTTATCGTTCTTACCAGGCACCTGCCAGGGGGCGTGCTAGAAGTTCTCCATGAATGAACTTGCGATGACACAATCTTGTGGCCTCAACATTTCAATTCAAAATATGACCGTGAGTCATACTGGAGGATGTTGTTAATTACTGTGACGTAACAGATACAATGTGTGGTCGGTGTTAGGCTTGAGACAGTTGATAATCAATGACTCTCTAAAACCCAGGAAATCGTGGTCAGTATTTCGGATCATTGTTACACCATGTCGCAGGACGCTGAGCAGACGACACCCGTACAGGGCATTAGAAGAAAAATATTTCAGTGTGTGGATTTTATTCAAGGCTATTTCGTAGATGCTGCCCTGTTTTGTTTCTTTCTCTCACGGCACATGTCTCTACCATTGTTCCAGGAATATGTTCAGGACCAAATCCACAAAAAACATAACCTCAATTTGATAGATATTCAGAAAGGCATGAGTGGGAATGAGACCAGCTCCTGGCACGAGGCCCAGCAGGAGAGTGTGCTGGCCGTACTAGGACTCCAGATTGCGGAGGGTTTACCAGCCATCATCACTGTCCTCATCTTGGGGGCTGTCAGTGACCGCACAGGTAGACGCAAGATCCTGTTATGGCTGCCGTCACTAGGAAGTGTTGCACATTCTCTCATATATGTCCTGATTTTATACACTGGCTGGAACCTGGATGGCCTTTTCATGGCATCAGCTCTCAGGGGAATCAGTGGGAGTATGACCGCCTTCTTGGCGGGATCAACATATTTTGCGATTAACAGCGTTAAACCAAATCAAAGAGCCTCGCGCCTTGCTATCCAAGAATTTTTGAATGGTGGTGCATATGCACTTGGAAACATCATGGTTGGATTCTGGGTCAAGTCCAGTGGATTTTTTGCAACCGTTCTGGTTCACTCTAATCTGCGGGGTGATCGCCTTCTTGATATCCTTCTTCCTGGTCCAGGAATGCCAGCTCAGCGAAGCGGACAGACCGATTCGACACAGAAGGACTGGGAATTGTTGCAAAGATTTGTTCGCTCCGATGGCCAAAATATTCAACTGTTGTAAAAACCGAGGCCTAATTAAAGTTTGGATGGCCATTTTAGCGTTCCAGACATACGCTGCCGTACATATTGGGCAGGAGAATGTCTTAGTGTTGTATCTTAGTGGACAGCCATATTTGTATTCCTGGCGCACGGATGTGACTGGGCCGGGGCCGTATGTAAAAATTGGTCTGTTCTTGTCCGTCATCATGGCTGTGGCCGCTGCCGCTGTTGCACTTAGTCCACCCATTATGAGGAGGTTCCTCACAGAATCAAACATCGCATTTATTGGATACTTCTCCAAGGCCCTTGGGACCCTCTGGATTGCTGTTGTTCAGAATGAAACAATTTTATACTTTGGTAAGTCCTTAGAAATCACAAACAAAGATCAAGGTATATTTTCAATGCTCACTAATGCTATATGTTAGAAGAATCCCTTTCTCAGGAAGAAATGCAGACTTAACAACTGTCAGAATAGTATTTTTATATCAAAATATGTTCATCTATTATCTAGTGTTGTCACAGTTGTATAGCCTTGTGGTGGGATAGCCTACTGGTTAAAGCGTTCGCTCTTCACGCCGGAGACCCGGGTTTGAGTCCGCACATGGGTACAATGTGTGAAGCCCATTTCTGGTGTCCCCCGACGTGATAAACCATACTCACAGCTGTGTAAGATATTGGAGTTGCATCCCTTTGTCGTGCAAGGATCCACTGATCAATGATCATGCATCACTAGAGTTCCCGGATCCTGGTGAGCACCATTCTTGTATTGAAAGCTTTCACCTGTGCATGGAACCTATGACTCGTTTGCCTGCCATGCAACAGCTGTAGACAAATAAGCTGCTCCTGGAAGGTTTTAAAGTCATTTCAACAATCAACATGAGTTATATCTTGTTTTTCATTGAATCTAACAGTAAATGATTACCCGAAATACAGACACAATGTCTGTTTTTAACAAAGGACTAATTTGCTGATTGGCCTCTTCATCTACATGCTTAAGGTGACAGTTTGTTACGTGCCATTATCAAAATACTGTTACAGGTGCTGTTCAGCCCTACTTACTTAGTCTGACAGGGTAACCTAGTGGTTGAAGTCTCAAAAAGGAACTGAATACAACTCAGAAAATGTCAACATTTTTGTCTTGTACAAGCAAGAATAGTGAAATAAGGCTAAACGTGTCCCCAAAATTTTGAAAAGTTCCTTTCCCTGAGGCAAGCTTCAAAGTATACATGTATGCTGGAGAACAAGTCTTGGTTAAAGTCAGTCATGACAAATAAATTGATGCAACTGTCTAAGGCCACACAGAAAAGTAAGGGTAGGTAGGTAGATATTAATTATGTTTTCAGTGCATATGTATGGTCCCAGTTAGGCAACAAATATGGCAAAACATAATGTGCCTCACCCTATAAATCATGTGAGGTTCATTTTTTGACATGTACGGTATCTCCTGAAAAATAGAAACTTCAAAAAGTAAAATAGACAAGTAAATAGTCATTTGTGTCTCATGGCTTGAACTGACAACAACTTTATTGCCTTGACAAATACCACTCTAATGCAAGTATCTCACACTTAAATGTTGAGCCAGACTTTCCGTGTTTAAATCTGAACTAGCATCTGCAAGGTTTGTCTGACCAGAGCACTGCACACCAGTCATCACAGAGGAGACAGGCATGTGGCAACTTGATGCACAGTAGATTTAAGTCACAAAACTAAATCCCTGCGTCAGTGAATGGAGCTATCAAATGTTCACTGATGCAGATGAAAAGTGTGGCTATACAAGTTTCACTGCAACAGGGGAGCAAATTTCAATGGAGGTAGTTAATAGTTAAAAAAATTAGGGTTAAAGGCATTTTGTGTAATCAGAACCTTAACTGTTTTTGGGTGTGGCCTTTGATGATATGACATGCAGGTTTTATTGTTTAGTGTACATGTATCACAGAAAATATTCATGTTCAAGGATACAATCAGCCAATTAGAATGATTACATAATTTTAAGTAGATCTTGGTGTAACTGTATCAACTTATTTGTGATACAATCAGCCAATTAGAATGATGACATAATTTTAAGTAGATCTTGGTGTAACTGTATCAACTTATTTGTGCATACTTTGCTACACTGAAGGAAATTTTCGTGGGCCACGTCTTTGGACTTGTAGCTAAAGTCATGGACTGGCTAATTTATTAACACATCATATTTGATTATTTATGTGAACTTGTGACAACATTGTTTGCTGTTGATCGGGAGTAGTAGCAACTCTGTATGACTCCTGGTGGTAGCCTGGGGGGTATTTGTCAAACCAGTAACAGATTCGGTGATCTAGGTAAATATCTTCAACTTGACTGTCAAGATCTTAACATGATAAGTGTCCTTGTGTGCTCAATATCTATCACTGTGGTCAGTAGTGTGTTTTCCTAGTGCTCAGTCAATGTCAGTGCCAGGTCAACTAGCCTTGCCTAGACAAGGACATGGAAATACCCCAAGGACTGTTAGTATACTGTACATAAACCATCATGTGCAGATGCATGATTTTCATTTGTAAATATATCACTCTCTCAGTCTCAGGCTAGTTAAGTTATAATAAACATTTAATTTAATTTTAAATTTTGACCTGATAAAAATGTTCTTCGTATAACCAGACTTATTTAAGTTATTTGAGCATAAAGAAAATATTTCAGAAATTCAAACATGTGTTACTGTTTTCTTAATTGTTTTTGATGGTATTTTACCTTTTTGGTAATCTTTACTAAGTTCCTACATTCAAATTTCAGGTTTGTGAATTATTTTGTGGGCTAGTAACTTTCAGGCATAACTAGCCTAAATGGCTAGCAAAGTCTGGAAACTATTTCGCACACTGTGTATGCATTTTTAAAATGTGGTATGTGATATTGTGGTCTCTAAAGGTATGTGATATTGTGGTCTCTAAAGGTATGTGATATTGTGGTCTCTAAAGGTATGTGATATTGTGGTCTCTAAAGGTATGTGATATTGTGGTCACTAAAGGTATGTATACAGTTTGATTGCCATGATCATGATGATTGTAGTTGTGTGGAGCTTCACATATAGTTAGCCTGGTTACATGCCTTGTTGAGGAGCTTTCCTCTTGACACTCATTTACAATCATACCTCAAGTCGGGGCACAGTGGGCGGGTGGACAGTCTCGTACTTGATACACATGTAACTAAATATATTCATGTAAGCTGTGACCACATGTGGGCTGTTTCTCAGGCCTTGTGTCACTGAGTGGTATGGCTGTTCATTGCATGGGGTAGGACACTGGTCAGAGGTCAGAAATATTTTGGGGGTCAGAAATATTTTGGGGATTGGCAATCCTCTCTTCATGGATAGAGTTTTTCTTCTTTCTTCTTTTTTGGGGGGTGTGTGTGTTTGAGACTGTGATTACATAAATATGAGTCACTGTTGGCAAGTTAACCTTGTGAATGTCATGGTTCCTGTTTGATAAAACTATAGTGATCAAACTATTATATATCACTTAACATTAAGAGACATCCTTCTGATAACTGTGTCTGGGTGACATTCAATATGCAGCAGTAGAGTTTTGTTAAGATCATTTGAAGACTAACAGGAAATTTCATGGACAAGTGTCTTTATTATAAGGTGAGAAAGTGTTAAACACTGTGATCATGGTGATCAGACAGTAGATGTTAAATATTCTGTGGTGAGATAGTTGATAGTGAACGTTTTATTACGTTTATGGTAAGGCCCAGGGAGACACAATGCAGGCATACAGTATGGTACCTAACTGAACGAAGGCAAGATATCAGCAATAGTGAAGGTTTGCAAACATAGTTTGGCTAGTTGGCCTTTTCAAACAATACCCTGACAAGTGTAAATTGGCATGGCTCCCACGGCTGAAGCTATTAATGCATTATGCCATTTAGATAGTGGTCAAAGTTTTCGATGTTTTATTTGGGATTACACTTTCTCAGTAAAGTACAGATTGCAGTACTTTTGGGGGTTGAGTCCTGACATTTTCCTCCAGATAAATCCGAAGTGGATGCGATTGTGACACAAGAAACCATCCACAACAGCAACAAGTGAAATTTAATTCAAATTGGTTCTTGTAAAAAGAATATTAAAACAGGAATGGCTAATGAAGCAACGGTGTCTAAGTCCAATTCCTAGATTAATGCTTAAGATATTGTTACATCCTGCAGTTGTCAGCAAGTAGTCAGTTGTTAGCTGGTACTAGTCATGCTATACATTATCAGATAGACAATCCAAAAGATTTGACAGATCTACAAGCTGTTATAAAATAATTAAATGTTATCAGCTACTTATGATTCTTGTTTGATTTTACAAATTGTCTGCCAAGAAAAGAGTACATTTGTATCCAAATAAACTTTGAGACTTGCATTTTCAAAGAAATGATCGGGAGATGAGAATTTGGAAATTGTGTATTTACAAAAAAACCTTTTTATAATACCAAAAGATCTATAAAATTACGAACTTTTATTTTAAAAGAGTTACTTCCTCACTTGAAGCTTTAAGACAATACAAATGAAGACATTTCCCTCTGACAGTCACTATCAAAATGAGAATTTTCTTTTTAATGTCAGTATTAATTTCATTGACAATTGTTAATGTCATGGATAGATACACTGATTTAAATGAGACACGGGGCATAGCGTTCGGTTTTACAATCATTGTTGTCTTAATGAAACCTTTGATCTTGTTTGTAAAGAACAATTTGATAAAAACAATGATAGCTGTAATAGGAACTATAATAATATTTTATCTGTGTGGCCTATCATGTGACTATTTCAGTCTGAGGTGATATTTACATCAGGAATTAACTGAAACAGGTTCTGCAGGCCTTAGAAACAGCCTAACAATATTTAAGTGCTCTGTGTTGAGTAATTCCAACCATAATTGTTTGATGAAGCTGTAACCATTTAAGGAAAACAGCAAAGTATATTTACACACCAGGTGGCCATGTTGGATGTCCATGATATGTTCAAGTTTTAAGTATTTGTGTTGTGAAGCGTACCATCCTTGCCTTTCCCTTTGCGTGTTTGCTAAACTGAAGTGAGGGAAGTGAGCGTTCCGTGCATATCTGCCCTGTAAGCAAGGGCCATGCCGGTTCATGGGTGTATCTGCTGGAACAAAGATGCAGTGCCACAACAGATAACTGCTATGATTAGGGATTGTTTCAAAGCTGAAAAGAATTGACTCTGATATTTGGTTAGTAAGTGTTTTGGAGTATTTTCCAGAATAAGGTGTTATTAACATGATAATCAAGGAAGTTTGGATCTCACTAGTTCATTGTCTTATAAATGTTGCTAAGTGTGTTGAAACAAAGGAAAAGGCACATCTTGCCCAATAAAAACTGCCACCTGTGTTGTAATGTTTTGGGTTAAGTATTCATTTCTGTCACTAGTGAACTGATGTGTGGGTTGTTGGGGGGATGACATGGCCTCAGTGACCATCTCACACTATCCCTAGTTGACAAGTAAACAAACATTACTTTATTTTTGAACAAAATATAATGTTGCAAGTGGCATTGGTGATGTTGGTTATCCAAAACATGTCACTGAAAGCATTTCTTTAAAATGCTTCTTTCTTCATGGTGACAGTAATTAAGCTACTGTCTTCTCATTACAATCATCAGACACATGAATATTACAGACAGTTTAATGATTAAACATTGCCAAGGTGATAACTTGTGCTTAATGTGCCCATGCATGGAAGCCCTAGAGAAGGGATGTTTGCAGGAATTCATTTAGGAGGTAACTATTAATCAGGGAGCAAACAAATGGATATTGCATGCTTCACAATTTCTGTTCATTTGGATTGCCTTTGTCATTTTGACTCTTGCTCCACACATATGATGTAGGTCACTCACTCACTCACTCTCTCAACAACGATGCTGTGGGTCACTCTCACACATCTCTTGATTTCAGTTGTGCTTCACTCACTCCCTCACTCCTTGTCCTATATCATAGATCGTTCGCTCACTCACTCACTCAATCACGCATGCACGCATGCACGCATGCACGCATTGTGTCCTTGACCTATGTTGTAACTTGTATGTCAGGCACTCACTGAAGGATTTTTCTCAATATTTCAGCCATCCTGCTGTTGGCGTTTGAACTTCTGCCATTCCCTATGATGAGGTCCATCGTGTCAAGAGGAATCTCCCCATCAGAACAAGGTGAGATTCTCCCCTGAATGTACTTTAGCCATGTGACTAATTGCAACTTTGACAGCCACCATATGGTTCTAAAATGTTGTTTAAACATGTACAGACTGTCACACCCTCAGCATCAGGCACCTAATCGCCAGCACACAAAGTCAGACGCCTAGACCGCTCATCCACAAAAAATGGAAGTCGGACAACTGGTAGTCTAGACTGCTGACTTTGTGTACCCCTCTGATAAGTGTTAGTTGGCACGGCTCCCACGGCTGAAAGCTATGAAAATGAACAAATTGTGAAAGCCGCGGTGGCTGAGCGGTCTAGGCGTCTGACTTTGTGTGCTGGCGATTAGGTGCCTGACTCTGAGGGTGTGGGTTCGAATCCCAGATGGGACTCAACCCAACAAAAGTACTAGAATCTGTACTTTACAAAGAAAGTGTAATCCCAAATATAACATATGTTACACTCAAAGATGGTATGAAACTTACAATGTTAGGCCTGTGAACTTACTTAACCCACAGTATAAGTGTTCTCAGTACAAATGTGAGGTTAAAGATCATCGAGGTTTTCAACCTCCACCACATAGCTGGAATATTGCTGAGTGTGGGTTTAAAATTAAACAACAATCAAACATATAATGGTATCCAGCTGTCGTACATCTGGATAGGTCACTGAGGTCATGTCATCCCCCCAACTCACCTCTCTGTTACACCTGGCAACTGGGAATTGGGTGGGGTGGGGTGAGATGGTCACTGAGGCCATGTCATCCCCCCAACTCACCTGTCTGTTACACCTGGCAACTGGGAATTGGAGTGTGTGTGTGATGAGATGGTCACTGAGGCCATGTCATCCCCACAACTCACCTGTCTGTTACACCTGGCAACTGGGGGTGGAGAGGGGTGAGATGGTCACTGAGGCCATGTCATCCCCACAACTCACCTGTCTGTTACACCTGGCAACTGGGGGTGGAGCGGGGTAACATGGTCACTGAGGCCATGTCATCCCCCCAACTCACCTGTCTGTTACACCTGGCAACTGGGGGTGGAGAGGGGTGAGATGGTTACTGAGGCCATGTCATCCCCCCAACTCACCTGTCTGTTACACCTGGCAACTGGGGGTGGAGAGGGGTGAGATGGTCACTGAGGCCATGTCATCCCCCCAACTCACCTGTCTGTTACACCTGGCAACTGGGGGTTGAGAGGGGTGAGATGGTCACTGAGGTCATGTCATCCCCACAACTCACCTGTCTGTTACACCTGACAACAGGGGGTGGAGAGGGGTGAGATGGTCACTGAGGCCATGTCATCCCCCCAACTCACCTGTCTGTTACACCTGGCAACTGGGGGTTGAGAGGGTGAGATGGTCACTGAGGCCATGTCATCCCCCCAACTCACCTGTCTGTTACACCTGACAACTGGGGGTGGAGAGGGGTGAGATGGTCACTGAGGTCATGTCATCCCCCCAACTCACCTGTCTGTTACACCTGGCAACTGGGGGTTGAGAGGGGTGAGATGGTCACTGAGGTCATGTCATCCCCCCAACTCACCTGTCTGTTACACCTGACAACTGGGGGTGGAGAGGGGTAAGGTGGTTACTGAGGCCATGTCATCCCCCCAACTCACATGTTTGTCATGCCTGGCAACTGGGGGTGGGGAGCGGCGAAGAGGATCACTGAGGTCAAGCCATCCCCAGGACTTAACTGTCTGTCACACGCTAGTTGTCCTGGACACATCACAGTAATCAGGATATTCGACTTTGTTGGCTGTAACAGTCTGCCGCAGGACGTAAACAGTTGTGCTATATGTTCACTCAGGTGTCACATCATTACTGCTATGACTATCCAGTCTCTACCCCCTACACCCTACACTGTGTGCATGATATCATTGTTACACAGGTAACCTGATTCAGGTCAACATGGGGAAGGTGCAGGAAGACAGTGGGATTGCCTCTGACTAGCCCACTTCTAATGTCTTGACACAAACACCTTGACTCTTAGGTCATCGCTACATAGTTGTGATTGTTGGTGCACATCAAAGATTAATCTCAAAGAGTGTTGACATATTGCGCATCATGGGATGAGGAGAGGATACTGGAGGTCATGTCATGATGATCTCTATGATACTGGCTGTTTGTTGTGGCGTCTTGCTGCCCATCAACGTTGCCATATATTGCCATATCATTACCGCCTTGCCCAGTCTGTTGCAGACAGACAGACAGATAATTTATTTGAGTCTCACCTCAACATCATACATATGTACATAGAAGGGAATAATAAAACGTTGAGCCAATCTTTACAGACTTATGAGAGACTATATCATATAAAATACAAAACTAAAAGAATATAGGATATATAATATATATTTACAGTACGAAGTTAAGAATATAAAAGGGCATGTCGACACCGAATGATAAGAAAGCAGGTTTTGGCTGTATTAAAAGACACCTGTGGATTGGACAGTAAAAATCGGATCTTATCAAAGTCACTAAAAGACAAAAAGCTCACAATAAGCTGCTCACATTTACTAAAAAGGACACCTCTTTCAAAAAAATAAAGTGGACAGTGCAGTAAAACATGACATTCATCTTCAATAAAATCATTACAGTAAAAACATGTTCTTTCCTTTAGAGGAGTACAATTATAACGTCCAGTTTCAACTCTTAGAGGAGCAATACCACATCTAAAAAGTGCTAAAGCACGTCTATAAGAGCGAGGCATGTGGCTAAATAAATAAAATTCAGGATGATATTCATCCTTAAAGGTAGCATATGTTCTTAACTTATTACCTCCATTGCTCGTTGTACCATTTACATTTGAAATAGAATTTTTCCAAGAAGAGTTAAAACTATCAAATAATTTACGTGTCACTTCCGAAACGACAAAGGAATATGATAGTTAACGTGTATGTTATTAAAATGGTGGAGACCAAGATCAGAAAATTTAACGTGCACTCTAAAATTCCAATTCCGTTTCCTTAAAACAGCAGAAACATTACTCCAAACAAAAACTTTACTTGTTATACGGAATGGATCTAAATTACATAATCGTCTAAATAATCTAGACACACCTCGCCACTGATTAACAAAGGGTGGGCACCAACCCATGTCACCACTAACAGCATTGTTTGGGGCATATTTACGTAAACCCATAAAAAACCTCATTGCACGGTTTTGTACAGCATCTATACATGAAAATTTATAGGTGCCCCATATGGATACGCCGTAATTGATGGTGGACCAAACCATAGAAAAAAAACAACTTGGAATATGTTTGATATGGCATACCGCCTCACACTTTATACTTAGTAATTAATAAGCCAAGTGCCCGACTAGCAGAATTAGCTACAGATTTTGCCATGCGTAAATAATCTAAATGCTCTGTTGAAAGCAAACCTAAGTAATTATAACAATCTGTTGTCTCCAATTCCGTATCACCACATACAAATAAAACATTACTTCTTGAAACTGACGGGTGTCTAAAATGAACAACTTTGGATTTAACATTATTGACAGTCATCTTATTGGATATACACCAATTATGTAAACAGTCCAACATAACATTTAAATCATTCTCATTTTCAGCAATTAAAACAATATCATCTGCATGTGACAAGGGTACATCACAGATTTATCTCGGTCAGCTCCAAGCCAGCAACAAATGTTAGTTGAGATATAGAAACGAGTTCCGTCCGTTCGTGCGTTAGTCCATGTCCGTCCGTGCGTCCGTCACACTTTGCCCGAAGCATATCTCCTAAACTATTCGTGATAGCTTAACTAAACTTGGTACACATGTCAACCATGATCCCTAGGTGTGCCTTTTGGGGGATAGACCCAGATATGAATTTTAGTTTTTGCTGTTTCCATGGAAACATGACTTAGGCTGTGACTATGAGGATGTCATCTTGTCCGGAACAGATCTCCTAAACTATACATGCTAGCTTCATCAAACTTGGTACACATATCAAGCATGATCCATAGATATGCCATTTGATGGTTAGACCCAGATATGAATTTTATTTTTTGCTGTTTCCATGGAAACATGACTATGAGGATGTCATCTTGTCCGGAGCAGATTTTCTAAACTGTAATGCTAGCTTTATCAAACTTGGTACATATGTCAAGCATGATCCACAGATGTGCCTTTTGGGGTTTAGACCCAATATCATTTTTTTGCGTTTTCCATGGAAACGTGACTTAGGCTGTGGCTATGAGGATGTCATCTTGTTCACCATGATGCCTTTGGGGGGTTACACCAGTATGTGAATTTTATTTTTTGTGGTTTCCATGGAAACATGACTTGAACTGTGACTCTATGAAGAAGTCATTTTGTCCGGAGAAACTTTCACAAGAATTTGGAAAAAAAACTAAACTTGAAAATAACCCAAGTTGACCATCATTGACGTGTGGCATTGCCTGTTTTAATTTCCTTATAAATATTGTATTGCCATGTCAAAGTTGGGACTGTTGCGGGGGATATTGATGACTTTGTCTTCTTGTTCAACTTGGGATGTAACGTGTCCCATGTCAGGTTGTCATAACTTCTGACTAACATGTTTAGGCTCTCATGTGTGTTTTTTGTTTGACACTACTGCATTGAATGTGGTGTTGCAATTCTTCAGATTGTAAGATTAATGAGGATGTTACAAATAGTCCCAAATTTTTACAACAATGTCTTTTTCCTAATATTATTGCACTTTGTCTAAAAAAATCAACATGTTTCACACATTTTACATTTTTCATGGTTTCTGAGATGTTTGGATGAGCAACACTGACTTTTGTTGCAGGGTCACTGTTTGCTGTGATGCATTGTGGGGAAAGCATAATCTACTTTCTTGCGCCTTTCACATTCACTGCGATCTACGCTTCCTCCCTGCACTACTTCGGAGGCTTTGTCTTCATCGTTTCCATCATCCTGCTCTTTTTGCCGACTGGGTTCACTGTGTAAGTATAATAGATTTACTACCTACCCTACCCATGTACCCGACCCTACCCAGGTATTGACCCCTCATTACCTGACCTTACCAATGTACCTGACCCCTCATTACCTGACCTTGCCAAGGTACCTGACCCCCTCATTAGACCCTACCCATGTACCTGACCCCCTCATTAGACCCTACCCATGTACCTGACCCCAACCATGTACCTGACCCTACACAGGTACCTGACCCTACCATGTACCTGACCACCTCATTAGACCCTACCCATGTACATGGCCCCACCCAGGTACCTGACCCTACCCATGTACCTGACCACCTCATTAGACCCTACCCATGTACATGGCCCCACCCAGGTACCTGATCCTACCCATGTACCTGACCACCTCATTAGACCCTACCCATGTACATGGCCCCACCCAGGTACCTGACCCCACCCATGTACATGACCCCTCATTACCTGACCTTGCCGAGGTACCTGACCCCCTCATTACCCCTATCAAGGTACCTGACCCCTGGTTATCTGACCCCACCCATGTACCTGACCCCACCCATGTACCTGACCCCACTCAGGTACCTGACCCTACACATGTATGCTCGGACCTCGTTGTATCGTGGCATCCATGGTATCGCGGCAAACGGTATTTCGGCTTTTCTGCGCGAGACACGCCTCCTAGCGGTGATTTGCATATGTAAATGGACAGCCAGACGTCAGTCGCTTGTTTACTTTTTAGAAACCAGCAGGATGTATCAAATCTTCGTAAATAGTTAAGTAACCAGCAGAAATATTAATATTAAACTCTGGAATCTTTGGAATCTGTCTGACCCCCATCCATGAAATACATGCTATAATATTTACATGTCGTATATGACCCTTCCCACTCAATCTGAACTAGGTCGTCTGCATCTCGTTGTTGCCATATAAGGTAGCGGAAGTGACGTCATGAGCTTTATTTATCTCCCGGTGAATACCAAATGTTGTACTTCAAATAAGGACAAAAAGCGTAAAATGACCCCTGTTCAATGAAAACGATTTTGCACACTTTAACAAAAAAGAAATTTAGAAAGGATTTTATCATACTGTTGTACACATAATTATTTATTTATTTTATTACATTATTTCAAATGATATTTTGCATTGAAATATGTTTGAAATCATGCCTAAAATAAATAAAAAATGAAACAATATGATCAAATATTTAGAAATTCATGATGAAAATGATATCTTTTGGAAGTTTGGTGTATTCCTTGAATAAAATTTTATAATGACCCCACCCATGTACCAGACCCCCTCATTAGACCCTACCCATGTACCTGACCCTACCCATGTACCTGACCCCCTCATTAGACCCTACCCATGTACTTGACCCTACCCATGTACCTGACCCCACCAATGTACCTGACCCTACACAGGTACCTAACCACCTCATTAGACCCTACCCATGTACCTGGCCCCACCCTGGTACCTGGCCCCACCCATGTACCTGGCCCCTCATTACCTGACCTTACCGAGGTACCTGACCCCCTCATTAGACCCTACCCAGGTACCTGACCCCTGGTTATCTGACCCTACCCATTTACCTGACCTTACCCATGTACCTGACATGGAGGTTGTTTTTGGGTGAATGTTAACATTGTTCTACATTCTTTTACAATTAAAGCAAGAAGAAATATTGTATACTGTTGTGGCAGGATAAATTTTTCTTCATACATGTATTCTTCCAGGGGTTCAGTATGTTTCCGTCATATTATTTATTTTTCAAGTCCATTTGCTCTAGTTAAATGTGTTACTTAAGGACCTGAAATGATTTTATTTCTTATTTGAGCCAATGCTGAGAGACATGTGAGCAATGATGGCTACAGGTTCATTACAACAAGATATATGGTGTGTTTTCAGAGCCCTTCGATATCTAGAGAGGAAGGAGCCTCAGGGATACTGAGCCAATGGATGGAGCCGATTTGCAGCCCGAGGAGGAGGGACCTGCGGCACCCAGCGAATCTGAAACTGACCGACTGGCACAGGAACCAATCAGCTTCATTCAGCTGAGTCAAGATGCATAATGAGCCAGCACGCTGAGGTCCCATGGATTGTTGTGGAATGTGTACCTTGAGCCCGTGATTGCTGACAGAGATCAGCCAGATTGACTGTATGCTGGACAGTTGTTGGATATCAAGGTTTTGTGTAGTATTGTCATAAGTCTGACGTGTTGGGACATTTTCCGGGGATATTGTACACTGCATCATATTTCTTTTGCTCAAAAGTGAAATTAGAAGTCACAGCAGGTCTGTACGATTGTCAACTGATTTGGTAGATGTTTTCTACTTATTTATCAACAGTGCTTACATTAGCTCAACGTTTTATAGAACTTGTTGTAGAGTATTGTGTCAGCTGTGGCTACAATCAAGAAGCAGAAAAATATGAAAACAGCACCTTTGTATCAGTAGGAAAGGAGAGTTTAGTTGTGTGTGTGACAGGTGCTTGGTGTGTCCACAGAGTTATGTTATAGCTGTCTCTGTGTTGCATGCAGTGTGTGGCTTCAGGATATCAAGGTTCATGCTGGCTTCAAATGGCCTTGAATTTTTAGGGTCCCCTTGATTGATTGATCTTGTGAAGCCTTGAAAATCACCAAAAGAGCTTAAAACCCTGAATTTGTACAAAAAGATATACATTTATTAATAAAAGTATTAAAGTTCATGACATTAAATTTGGTAGTAGTGACAAGAAATCTTGTTGGACATTTGGTGATGTTTATACTGTTTTAGGTCTTACGACTCATGTATAATATGCTGGGTTTCTGGAAATTGATTACAGGCCGAAACTGAAAAAAGAGCCATGAGAACTGTTCCAGGGGAAGTTGATTTTAGTGTTGTATATCTGTTCGAGCCTTGAATCAGTGTGTTGTTATCCTGTCAGTGTGAGTAATGATTGTTTCCAGGGTAGAGTAAGTGTGTGACTGTGGTCGCTTAGATCAGTCAGTGCTGGTATTGATCACTCTGAAAAGTAAAAATAATTCTGAAATGAGATAGTAGGCTGTATTGATGAAATGTTATCCATTCCCACCAAACTTGATTTCTTTGACCACTTTCTGTATCTCCACATGCCATGTTTTGGGGTTGTATTTTTCAGGAAGTACAATGTGCAGTAAAACATACGGGATAAATTGCTTACCATCTCACTTCAGATGGACTGTTAATTTGTTGTGGCCTTATATAACAATGAATGAAAATCCAATGAAGTCAGCATTATACACCATGTGACACAGGCTATGTATGGGGTCAACTCTGTAGCTCAGGTCAGGGAAGTGAATTGTTCGTGTAAGCCCTACAGAATACTTTCCCCCCTCAGTTTGACACAAGTTGAAACCATACACAGCATGTGGTGTCATCGACCTTCCATTACAAAGTGCATATTTGGTTCCAGTTCCTACTACCAACCACTTGCATGTGTTTATCGTCTACAGAGAGAGATATTTTTACACCATGTTGTTATATGTGTGGTATGAATTTGCATTTTCTTTGTCTGATATCGTCATTCCACTTCAACGAAAGATCACCCTGTAGTCTTGGTAGCGTGAATGTGGTGAATGAGAATGCCTACAGTACCAGCCGATATCAACAGATGTGGCCTTCCGTAGGTGATGCCTGATTGTGTGAAAGTTAATGTAATATATATTGTACCAGGCCCATTTGAATCTCTAACACTTAATCAATGGTTTGGTTGGTTGGTTGCACTTCCAATACTGCAGCTATATGGCGGCAGTCTGTACATAATCCAGTCTGGATCAGACTATCCAGTGATCAACAGCATGAGCATTGATCTACACAATTGGGTTACGATCACAGGTTTAACCAAGATCGAGGCTTACCACCCGATTCCGTTAGTCGCCTCTTTCAACAAGGATGGCTTGCTAAAAACTAATCAATGGGAAGAAGATATATTTTCTATAAGCATAGTAATGATGATGATGATTTAAAAGTTTGTTTGTGCTCTGCTGATGCAGTAGTATTCTCTCTATACGTATGTTATGGAATGTATAGTAGACTAAGGAACATTGATCTACGCAATTTGGATCCAAAGACAAGCATCAGACAACTTATCAAATCTGACCACCTGATCCTATTAGTTTCCTCTTTTTGGAAGACCAATTCTAGCCAGGTCTTCACGGTGGACTTGATTTAGTACAGTTTCCCCCAAGTCTCTGTAAGTTAAGTGTTGGAGGAAAAGCCTAGAGTGAATGAGATAGTAGAGGTTAACCCATAGTGTGGATCCGGTTAACATAGGTTGAACTACGAAGCAAGGCTAAGAAGAAAGGATCTTGTGGTGTAATGATGTTATTTGTTTTATCTGTTGAACTTAGCATCCCAGTTATCTCTGATACAGCTGGTCTGCAGGAACATACTCTCCATGGTAACAGTTTTAGTTGGTTTATTCTTTTAAAAACCCCACATCTACACAATGATCAAGTTGAAAGTGAGTGAAGTAGTTAAGAAAATGTTTTGATTGAGTCAGATGTGTGTGTTGTGAATGTCCTAATCATTGCGGCAATGTTTGATATATATCTCTTTAGTCCAATGTTTGCCATAATCTATAACCACCAAACAGCCAAAAGTTACTTGTTTATTTTGTGTACATAGTTATTGTGTTTACAACATTTACACATCAACATTTACACAGCCTGACCTCCCATGAGGCCTCTTGCGACCCTGTACATGCACTGTAATAGATATCCAGACACGAAACTGGTCACATCCTCACTTGCACAGTACCTCCAGTCACGGCTGTCACCCAGGGAGCCTACAGCAGCTGTCCTCTCTGACCACAAATACCAGAATTTGCTGGGGCCATCGTACTGCTAGCATTGAAAGTATAGGTGTAATAATTGCCTTAGCAAACAGAATTCTTCATTTGTGCATTTTCCATGGCAATTAATTCTACATAACCAAAATCTAAGCTGGTTATCAAAAAGCCAAGAGAGAGAATTGTTAACAGGTTCAGAAGGTGAAGGTTAGAGATACAACTGCCTCAGAAAAGGTTTGATGTAATACTTTGTGAAGAAGTAGCCCTGCATTTATTACTGACTACTTGGTATTCCTCAGGGCATGTTCTTGTTTGAAAGACAATTTGCCTTGACCTACCTTTAGCATGCAGTCCCGGGCAGTACACCATATGTCCAGATAGATCCAGGGGCAGATAACCAGCTTCCACTAGCTGATATGGGAGATCAGGCTGACATTGATCATATGACTTGTGTCAGCAAATTTGAAGAATAATGTTAGTCTCTACCATTCCACAGTTATGTGTGTATAGCTTATACAATAACTATTACAGATCTATTTATTCAGTACCTTATACATATATCTATTCTGTTGTTATGCATTCGGGTTGTTGAATGTGCATGATCTCAGCACCACCACAAATCTTGTTAGATGGTAGTGTACCATCCTTTCTCTTCCACACCACACTCAGTGTGCATAAACAGGAATCAAAGTGCATATGACCAGTCTTCTCACATTTTCAAGATCTAAAAAATACTGTTGGTTCTGATTGCAAATGAGCTTTGTAAATTGGAACATTGCGTTGAAATGCAGTTCCTTGACATTGGTAGGTGTATTGTTGACCTGACAACATTGGCAATAGCGTGTTGGTCACCAAGGGAACTTGAATCAAACTTTATATGAACTTGTTTTTTTGTATTTTTATCTTTTGATAGATTATGACAAGAATTCTTTGACTATTTTCTGTGATATTACTATTTTGCCCATGTATGGTGTGTTTCACCATGTTGGCATGAAGCTACTGATGACTGTTTATTGTTTGTAGTCCAGCACCAGGGCAACTTCTGGTCCTCTCGTCAGTTCAATGCTGATGTCGCCATGTTGTCACAACATCTAACTGCCAATCAAGACATCCAGTAAGAAGCATGTCTTGATTTGTTTACTTCCAGTGTCCAGGGGTGTGAACTGATAGCATCCTGTGCAAGTCCTGACTTGGCCCAGCTGTCAGTGTGTAACACCACTGCAACAGTTTTGATGGAATCAGGAATTTTTCTGCTCCAGTGGTTGGGAAGCCCATTGGGTTAATTGTTCACCATGATGCTGTAGACTGCAGCTTAATTCCAAAACATTGGTGCATTGTGTGAAGCCCAGTTTGGCGTCCCGTGCTGAGATATTTCTGGAAGGAAGCCTAAAGTGGTGTAAAGCCTAAATCATTGAATGTAATTGCAAATAAAGCATTCATCGCAAATAATCAAATATTTTGGAGTATGACCTGTGTCCTGTGAGCCTCTACCGTTAACCTATGGCAGTACCTCACAGCTGATGCGAGCAGGGCAGGCGTGCTACTGTGAAATCAAAACAACTATGGCATTGTCATTAGGGAAGCTGTTTGACTTTCTATTTGGAGCATTGTATCCTAGCTGAAGAACAGCATAATTCAGTGTTATGTAAATCTCATGTTTTGTCCGTATATATTAAACATTTATTTATTGTCGCTTATTGCCCTTGTTAGCTTGTATAGATGTGATGGTTGTTTTTGAATATGCTATGTTTTAATTTCAGTGTTTCAACCTAATAAGTCATCCCATGGATTGCATTCATATCAGGTGTATTTATAGTGTAACTCTGAGATCGTTTCACAACACCTGTGATGCAAATGGATATACTTTCTGGTTGAATGGGGTCTCGCAATGCTTGGATAGCCATACAAGGTTTTTGCTGTCTCAGTGCTTGGACAGCCCAACAAGCTTGTAGTTGTCAGCGTACTTGGACAGCCATACAAGCTTGTTGCTGTCACAGCGCTTGAATAGCCATACAAGCTTGTTGCTGCCAGAGTGCTTGGACGGTCATACAAGCTTGTTGCTGTCAGCATGCTTGGACGGCCATACAAGTTTGTTGCTGTCATAATGCTTGGACAGCCATACAAGCTTGTTGCTGTCAGCATGCTTGGACAGCCATACAAGCTTGTTGCTGTCACAGTGCTTGGACAGCCATACAAGCTTGTTGCTGTCACAGTGCTTGGACAGCCATACAAGCTTGTTGCTGTCTCAGTGCTTGGACAGCCATACAAGCTTGTTGCTGTCTCAGTGCTTGGACAGCCATACAAGCTTGTTGCTGTCACAGTGCTTGGACAGCCATACAAGTTAGTTGCTGTCATAGTGCTTGGACAGCCATGCAAGCTTGTTGCTGTCTCAGTGCTTGGACAGCCATACAAGCTTGTTGCTGTCACAGTGCTTGAACAGCCATACAAGCTTGTTGCTGTCTCAGTGCTTGGACAGCCATACAAGCTTGTTGCTGTCTCAGTGCTTGGACAGCCATACAAGCTTGTTGTTGTCACAGTGCTTGGACAGCCATACAAGCTTGTTGCTGTCTCAGTGCTTGGACAGCCATACAAGCTTGTTGTTGTCACAGTGCTTGGACAGCCATACAAGCTTGTTGCTGTCACAGTGCTTGGACAGCCATACAGGCTTGTTGCTGTCAGCATGCTTGGACGGCCATACAAGCTTGTTTCTGTCACAGTGCTTGGACAGCCATACAAGCTTGTTGCTGTCACAGTGCTTGGACAGCCATACAAGCTTGTTGTTGTCACAGTGCTTGGGCAGCCATACAAGCTTGTTGCTGTCTCAGTGCTTGGACAGCCATACAAGTTAGTTGCTGTCATAGTGCTTGGACAGCCATACAAGCTTGTTGCTGTCACAGTGCTTGGACAGCCATACAAGCTTGTTGCTGTCTCAGTGCTTGGACAGCCATACAAGCTTGTTGTTGTCACAGTGCTTGGACAGCCATACAAGCTTGTTGCTGTCACAGTGCTTGGACAGCCATACAAGCTTGTTGCTGTCAGCATGCTTGGACGGCCATACAAGCTTGTTGCTGTCACAGTGCTTGGACAGCCATACAGGCTTGTTGCTGTCACAGTGCTTGGACAGCCATACAAGCTTGTTGCTGTCTCAGTGCTTGGACAGCCATACAAGCTTGTTGCTGTCACAGTGCTTGGACAGCCATATAAGCTTGTTGCTGTCATAGTGCTTGGACAACCATACAAGTTAGTTGCTGTCAGCATGCTTGGATGGCCATACAGGCTTGTTATCACAATCTAGAGCCCTGGCCATTTTGTCTATAGTTTGTGTGTTAGTGTTACATGTTTTGTTTGCAGGTATTCACCGTTCATATTAATGTTAATTATGCAGGTGGAAGTCCAGTAGCAGTATCTCATAATCAGTACACTTTTTATACGATTTATGCTTTTTATATAAAAATAATGTAACTTTTTGTAACATTGACAGGGTACTTAACATTATCAGACAGCAGAGAGTTGGCCTGTCCTGAAGCTTGTATCCATACATCCTACAGGGGTCATGGTCATACTCTCAAAGCTGTTCCCTCCTCATGTCATAAGAGAAATAGTACAATAATGGTGTATGTAAGATATTCATTCAATTACTTTGGAGTCACACAATAACCTTCAGTTTATTGATGTATGTTTGCATTGTTGATATTCCACGCACGTGACTGTGGCCATGTTATCCCAGGCTTTGTCCGCCACTAGCCAGACTGAGATTAGACATGTATTCAAGTTAGGAAAGACAAATATGTGCTGTTATAGGTTGTTCTGTTATAATGGTTAACACTGCCACGCAGCCAGTGATGTGGCTGTAGGTTGAGAGAACTGCCACGTACGCTGAAAGGAGGAGGGCGTGACAGGCAAGGACTGGTCATGTGATCTACATCGAGGGGAGAGCTACAGGTACACTAGTCCATATGATTGTGAATAAAGTCAATGCTGTTGCAACTATACTTTTATTAAATGTTTTTTTCCTGGTTAATGAGGATGTACGTGGGAGTCAAGGTGGATGCAAAAATGAGACCTCATTCACTATTTACAGAAACACGCATATCTAATTCTGTGAGCCACAGACTTCAGACAGTACTATCACATAATTCCCTCTCATTGCCTATGTACAAGAAAGATGTGTGTAGAGAGACGCATCGGACTATCACAATGGGAGTGAGTTCAAGTGATCTCGATGGCCACTCTGACATCAATACCCGCATTTTGCAGGATATTTAGCCATATGCAGGTGCAAGATATTCATTACGGTTTACCTGAGTCAGAATCGGCCCAACATAAGGACATCTCGCCGCGAAGATGGGCAGCGGGCTTAACGGTTTTGTATGAACTGTTCAGTTAAACGCCACACCCTTCTTCACAGTTGCAATGGGCAGATAGTCAGGTTACACATAGGCGGATCCAGAGGGGGGTGCAAACGGTTGAAAATGAACTGTGCACCTCGTTTCTCAAAAAGCCGTATCCGTACCTGTTACACCTTGCCATTGTGGTATTCGCCCATATTAACTACCTTGTACTACCCATTTTCAGAATAATTCCATTTCCCCAAGTGTGAAGTTTCTTTCTTTAGTTCAGTATAATCAGTCGGTTTGATTCGACACTATGTTACAGTGACCACATTAGTGAGAAAGAATGCTCCCATATATAACATAGGTTACGTTTGACCACTTTCTAAATGGTATTACTCGTGAAGGTCCGGGTTAGAATATTGATCTTCAGTAACCCATGCGTGTCGTATGAGGCGTATAACGGGATTGGGTGGTCAGGCTCGCTGACTTGGTTGACACATGTCATCGGTTTCCAACTGCGCAGATCGATGCTCATACTGTTGATCACTTGATTGTCTGGTCCACTCACTAGGGGTGGATATTTTACGGAATCGAACATTCTCTGATACGAGGAACACTAACACTACGAGTGTATGAGTGGTTTTATCCCCATGTCCTATTGTTCATTTCCAACCAGTGCTTAATTACGCGTCAGTTTATATTATCTATCAATATAAACCAATGGCTTGCCTAGTCAAAATAACTGACCTTGCCATTCTCCCCGACATAACCAAGGTAAACCTCAACAGAACTTTTACTTTCCGAAAGTAAACACTATTTGTAGCTCTTAGTTCAAAGCCCTGTCAAAAACCTTTCTTTGGGACTTAAAGAAAACCGAAAACAGGTTTTCGAGGTATGACTCAGAATTCCCAGATACACCACTTCTACTGACACCGTTGTCAAGTTAGCTGCCGAGTTTCTGGGTAAAGACTTCTGGTGGATCATCTTACAGCTTCTTTGGTACCAAAGAGAGAGCTACAGGTACACTAGTCCATATGATTGTGAATAAAGTCAATGCTGTTGCAACTATACTTTTATTAAATGTTTTTTTCCTGGTTAATGAGGATGTACGTGGGAGTCAAGGTGGATGCAAAAATGAGACCTCATTCACTATTTACAGAAACACGCATATCTAATTCTGTGAGCCACAGACTTCAGACAGTACTATCACATAATTCCCTCTCATTGCCTATGTACAAGAAAGATGTGTGTAGAGAGACGCATCGGACTATCACAATGGGAGTGAGTTCAAGTGATCTCGATGGCCACTCTGACATCAATACCCGCATTTTGCAGGATATTTAGCCATATGCAGGTGCAAGATATTCATTACGGTTTACCTGAGTCAGAATCGGCCCAACATAAGGACATCTCGCACGAAGATGGGCAGCGGGCGAACGGTTTTGTATGAACTGTTCAGTTAAACGCCACACCCTTCTTCACAGTTGCAATGGGCAGATAGTCAGGTTACACATAGGCGGATCCAGAGGGGGGTGCAAACGGTTGAAAATGAACTGTGCACCTCGTTTCTCAAAAAGCCGTATCCGTACCTGTTACACCTTGCCATTGTGGTATTCGCCCATATTAACTACCTTGTACTACCCATTTTCAGAATAATTCCATTTCCCCAAGTGTGAAGTTTCTTTCTTTAGTTCAGTATAATCAGTCGGTTTGATTCGACACTATGTTACAGTGACCACATTAGTGAGAAAGAATGCTCCCATATATAACATAGGTTACGTTTGACCACTTTCTAAATGGTATTACTCGTGAAGGTCCGGGTTAGAATATTGATCTTCAGTAACCCATGCGTGTCGTATGATGAGGCGTATAACGGGATTGGGTGGTCAGGCTCGCTGACTTGGTTGACACATGTCATCGGTTTCCAACTGCGCAGATCGATGCTCATACTGTTGATCACTTGATTGTCTGGTCCACTCACTAGGGGTGGATATTTTACGGAATCGAACATTCTCTGATACGAGGAACACTAACACTACGAGTGTATGAGTGGTTTTATCCCCATGTCCTATTGTTCATTTCCAACCAGTGCTTAATTACGCGTCAGTTCATGTTATCTATCAATATAAACCAATGGCTTGCCTAGTCAAAATAACTGACCTTGCCATTCTCCCCGACATAACCAAGGTAAACCTCAACAGAACTTTTACTTTCCGAAAGTAAACACTATTTGTAGCTCTTAGTTCAAAGCCCTGTCAAAAACCTTTCTTTGGGACTTAAAGAAAACCGAAAACAGGTTTTCGAGGTATGACTCAGAATTCCCAGATACACCACTTCTACTGACACCGTTGTCAAGTTAGCTGCCGAGTTTCTGGGTAAAGACTTCTGGTGGATCATCTTACAGCTTCTTTGGTACCATTTGTGACCCACTGGGGGGGTATAGAAAGGGGCGAGTGGTGACGACGCTCAATCTCACTACACCGTCGTACCCGCTGTACGGCAGAAAACCGGGTTTAAAGGGAATTTACCTTTAAGCATCATGCTCTGTGGTTATGTAAGGATTTGTCACCCAAACCATACCTACACACCACATGAACAATCTCACACGCCTCCAGTACAGTTAAAATGGATACACAAACAAAAGCAAATGCAATCAACGGTGACCATTTGACATACTTGGGTTTGGGAGTCTTGAGCCCGGGTTGAACGTTAGGGACCACGTGGCTAGAGTACTATGAGCCTGGATCAAGTCCATAAACGGTTCGTACGTCATTCATAAGCCTAACATAAACTATACAGACGCTTTCTTGATCGGGACTCTACGCCTAGATTAGGATGGTCAAGATGAATATACCCCGATGTCCTTTAAGGAATAACAAACACGCTCCCAACCTGTATCCAACACATTTTTTATTTACCGCTGTGTACACATCTGCAGAGCCGCCATCACTGGAGGGAACACACCTTTTTGTGGTGCTCTTTGACCTGATCCGGTAAGTTTGTCCGCCGGTGGTGGGACAGCTTGGTCATCACCTGAAATCAGAACACCGTGGAGGATGACTGTGCTCAAAACGAAGCTATCTATGACAGCAAATGGATCCAGGGCATTTATTCCCCGATAGAACACTTGGTCTCTAAAACATATAATTTGAATATAACGAAACAAATCAATCTATTTGAACCCCGACCGAGAACCTGAACCTGAGGAAAACTTCGGCATGCTTCATCCAGGGCTTATCTATTGGGAAGGTAAATTATTATGGTTCGGGGACTGTGACAGCGTAGGTGACAGCGTAGGCGACAGCTGGCCAGATTATTTTCCTCAGTGAAATTGTGCGTGATGCAACTATACCCAACTGATCTGTGTAGAACAGGGCCAGTTCCGGGGCCAGTTAGACACAAGGGGATTGGTTGTTTATTGTCGTGTATCGTGTTCCACATCCACGTGTGTGTCAGTTCATAATTAGCGTGTTTACAGATCGCCCTCATGCAGGTGAATTCATTCTGAATACGGCATGCAGGAACTGTCACTCTGTCCACAATCTAACTGTTGCATTAGACGTGAGACCAGCTTGGCAAATATACAGTGTTGCCTGCTACCTGGCGATGATTATTATAACAGGAATAATGAAGCCCCACCGCTTTAGAAAACCTGCTTATGATGATATTTTCAATGCGTCATTTTACAATAACACGAGGCTACAATAACAGCAGGGAAGCCACGTCGATAAGATAACCTGCAGTTAGTCGGCTTTACCAGCACGCGTATACAATACACCCAGTCACTGGCCACTGCAGTATATTGATTCAATATCGCTAACACCAATAAATATGTTATTGTTCCCATGGTTACTATATCAGTATAGTTTGGGGACTATTGTGACTGATGCACATCAACTCCCCCGGCCAGTTGGCCAGGCGGGGTTGTGGTAAGGTGTACATAATGACGTCAGAACGCCCATTGCGGTGATTCCTACATTACTGTGGGATCTCGGGTGTTGTTCGGCGCCATGTCTGCAGGGCTTACTTGCACAAAGCGATCTCAGTGCTACGACGATCGTAACTCCCATACTGCAACAAGCAGCCCTGGGCCCCACGGCTAATAAGGTATCGTTTCAGCTGATCCAGTTGAACATATGTGGTGCTGATTCGTGAACAGCTGACAACCGCTCCCCATGTGACCAGGTTTTATATCTGCATCACTGCTCTCACGTACCAGACGTCAAAGTGGCTGGAAGCATAGGTATCAGAGTGACCTGAGTGACCTTCAGTCTTTCACCATGCACCCATGAGGTGGGTCTGTTCTCGGAGTCTGCAATGCATCCTGCCTACGTCCCCCCACTCACAACCAGAAGTTGCCAACACAGCGGACACCCTCTACCAAGCATCGATCGATAGTGTTTTGATTTGGTGAAACATGCCTGTCTGTTGGGTCCAAAGTCTGCATTGATTCGTGTTTTGTAATAGCCGAATGAACTCCCTACATCAATCCCCTTAACGAGCCCAGCCGTGCAGCGTGTCTGAACTGCACATCACATGCAGGACGTCTCTTAACTGCACATCAGATGCAGGACGTGTCTGAACTGCACGTCACATCACAACCATTACGTGTCTGAACTGCACTTCACATGCAGGGCTTGTCTGAACTGCACGTCACATCCTGGCAGTGTCTGAACTGCACGTCACATCCATTACGTGTCTGAACTGTACATCACGTGCAGGACGTGTGTGAACTGCATGTTACATCCATTACGTGGATGACCTGCACATCACATGCAGGGCGTGTCTGACCTGCACATCTCGTGCAGGACGTGTCTAAACTGCACGTTACATCCATTACGTGGCTGACCTGCACATCACATGCAGGGCGTGTCTGACCGGCACATCTCGTGCAGGACGTGTCTGAACTGCACATCAGATGCAGGGCGTGTCTGACCTGCACATCTCGTGCAGGATGTGTCTGAATTGCACGTCACATGCAGGACGTGTCTGAACTGCACGTGGTGAAGGGTCAGTCACGATGGATTCCAAGACCTAGATTCGACTTGAGACACCATTGAGCTTATCATTTTATTCATATAAGGGATTGCACAAGTCGTCGGATTTTGCTCGGGGAATTATTCGCCATTCCTTCTGCAACGCGTTGGCAAGTTCTGCAAGTGTGTGAGGACGATGGTGACGTTTACGAACGCGCCATACGAAGTATCCAAATATTCCAAATAAAGATGGACCATCTTTTGTCAGGTGGCATGCCAAAGGATTAAAACACGTTTACCAAATTTTTACAAAAGCATATCAAATAAAAGAGTTTAAATTGATAAAAAATGAGTTTAATATTCCTGATACATATTTACTTTACTTCAAATTACTAAAATATCTGAATGCATTTTTCATGTATCGTTTTCCTTTTTTATGACAAACGTTTACAAACACATTTTGGGATGCGCTTACGCACAATACACAACAATCACGACATTATTAACGGAATTCAAAAATAGGAATTGTCTTAATGACGATTGCTGTAAAAATATATGGAAATGAACTGCAGAAACGACAATGCGTTTCTTTTTTTTTTGAAGAGCGTATTATGATTGCGTGCTATCGCTTATTCAGAACTGGAAACAATAAACGTATTTTGGACGAAGGCAACTTTCCTTTCGAGTCTTTCAAGGGCATTTAGCGACACACTGATCTCCAGATGACAAGCAAGGACTTACCCCCAGAGCCTCCAGGAAGTCGATGGTTCCACTCTCATCTGTGTCCAGCTCCTGCAGGATCTCCTGCACCTTGCCGGGCGTGAACACAGTCACGCCTTTGATCAGCACCCTGTCCAGCTCATCCACATCAATCACCTGTAGGCACAGGAAACCATCAACACTCTCTCTCACTGCACCCCAAGGATGTGTAGGTAATTCCCTCTCTCACTGCACCCCTGGATATGTGTAGGTACTTCCCTCTCTCACTGCACCCCAAGGATATGTGTAGGTACTTCCCTCTCTCACTGCACCCCTGGATATGTGTATGTACTTCCCTCTCTCACTGCACCCCAAGGATATGTGCAGGTACTTCCCTCTCTCACTGCACCCCAAGGATATGTGTAGGTACTTCCCTCTCTCACTGCACCCCAAGGATATGTGTAGGTACTTTCTCTCTCACTGCTCCCCAAGGATATGTGTAGGTACTTCTCTCTCTCACTGCACCCCAAAGATTTGTGTAGGCACTTCCCAATATCATTGCACCCAAGGATATGTGTAGGTACTTCCCTCTCTCACTGCACCCCAAGGATATGTGTAGGTACTTCCCTCTCTCACTGCACCCCAAGGATATGTGTAGGTACTTCCCTCTCTCTCATTGCACCCCAAGGATATGTGTAGGTAACTTCCTCTCTCACTGCACCCCAAGGATATGTGTAGGTACTTCCCTCTCTCACTGCACCCCAAGGATATGTGTAGGTACTTCCCTCTCTCACTGCACCCCAAGGATATGTGCAGGTACTGCCCTCTCTCACTGCACCCCAAAGATTTGCGTAGGCACTTCCCAATATCATTGCACCCAAGGATATGTGTAGGTACTTCCCTCTCTCACTGCTCCCCAAGGATATGTGTAGGTACTTCTCTCTCTCACTGCACCCCAAAGATTTGTGTAGGCACTTCCCAATATCATTGCACCCAAGGATATGTGTAGGTACTTCCCTCTCTCACTGCACCCCAAGGATATGTGTAGGTAATTCTCTCTCACTGCACCCCAAGGATATGTGTAGGTACATTTCCCTCTCACTGCACCCAAGGATATGTGTAGGTACTTCCCTCTCTCACTGCACCCCAAAGATATGTGTAGGCATTTCCTCTCTCTCTCACTGCACCCCAAGGATATGTGTAGGCACTTCCCTCTCTCACTGCACCCCAAGGATATGTGTAGGTACTTCCCTCTCTCACTGCACCCCAAGGATATGTGTAGGCACTTCCCTCTCTCACTGCACCCCAAGGATATGTGTAGGCACTCCTCTCTCACTGCACCCCAAGGATATGTGTAGGTACTTCCCTCTCTCATTGCACCCCAAGGATATGTGTAGGTACTTCCCTCTCTCACTGCACCCCAAGGATATGTGTAGGTACTTCCCTCTCTCACTGCACCCCAAGGATATGTGTAGGTACTTCCTCTCTCTCACTGCACCCCAAGGATATGTGTAGGTACTTCCCTCTCTCACTGCACCCCAAGGATATGTGTAGGTACTTCCCTCTCTCACTGCACCCCTGGATATGTGTAGGCACTCCCCTCTCTCACTGCACCCCAAGGATATGTGTAGGCACTTCCCTCTCTCACTGCACCCAAGGATATGTGTAGGTACTTCCCTCTCTCACTGCACCCCAAGGATATGTGTAGGTACTTCCCTCTCTCACTGCACCCCAAGGATATGTGTAGGTACTTCCCTCTCTCACTGCACCCCATGTGTAGGTACTTCCCTCTCTCACTGCACCCCAAGGATATGTGTAGGTACTTCCCTCTCTCACTGCACCCCAAGGATATGTGTAGGTACTTCCCTCTCTCACTGCACCCCAAGGATATGTGTAGGCACTTCCCTCTCTCACTGCACCCCAAGGATATGTGTAGGCACTTCCCTCTCTCACTGCACCCAAGGATATATGTACTTTCCTCTCTCACTGCACCCCAAGGATATGTGTAGGTACTTCCCTCTCTCATTAGGCCCCAAGTATATGTGTAGGTAATTTCCTCTCTCACTGCACCCAACAGATATGTGTATGTACTTCCCTCTCTCACTGCACCCCAAAGATTTGCGTAGGCACTTCCCAATATCATTGCACCCAAGGATATGTGTAGGTACTTCCCTCTCTCACTGCTCCCCAAGGATATGTGTAGGTACTTCCCTCTCTGATTAGGTCCCAAGTATATGTGTAGGCACTTCCCAATATCATTGCACCCAAGGATATGTGTAGGTACTTCCCTCTCTCATTGCACCACACGGATATGTGTAGGTAATTCTCACTCTCACTGCACCCCAAGGATATGTGTAGGTACTTCCCTCTCTCATTAGGTCCCAAGTATATGTGTAGGTAATTCCCTCTCTCACTGCACCCCAAGGATATGTGTATGTACTTCCCTCTCTCAATGCACCCCAAGGATATGTGTAGGTACTTCCCTCTCTCACTGCACCCCAAGGATATGTGTAGGTACTTCCCTCTCTCACTGCACCCCAAGGATATGTGTAGGCACTCCCCTCTCTCACTGCACCCCAAGGATATGTGTAGGTACTTCCCTCTCTCACTGCACCCCAAGGATATGTGTAGGTACTTCCCTCTCTCACTGCACCCCAAGGATATGTGTAGGTACAAGGATATGTGTTCCCTCTCTCACTGCACCCCAAGGATATGTGTAGGTACTTCCCTCTCTCACTGCACCCCAAGGATATGTGTAGGCACTTCCCTCTCTCACTGCACCCCAAGGATATGTGTAGGTACTTCCCTCTCTCACTGCACCCCAAGGATATGTGTAGGTACTTCCTCTCTCACTGCACCCCAAGGATATGTGTAGGCACTTCCCTCTCTCACTGCACCCCAAGGATATGTGTAGGGTACTCACTGCACCCCAAGGATATGTCTAGGCACTGCACTCTCACTGCACCCCAAGGATATGTGTAGGTACTTCCCTCTCTCACTGCACCCCAAGGATATGTGTAGGTACTTCCCTCTCTCACTGCACTGCCCCAAGGATATGTGTAGGTACTTCCCTCTCTCACTGCACCCCAAGGATATGTGTAGGTACTTCCCTCTCTCACTGCACCCCAAGGATATGTGTAGGTAATTCCCTCTCACTGCACCCCAAGGATATGTGTAGGTACTTCCCTCTCTCACTGCACCCCAAGGATATGTGTAGGTACTTCCCTCTCACTGCACCCCAAGGATATGTGTAGGTAATTCCCTCTCTCACTGCACCCCAAGGATATGTGTAGGTACTTCCCCTCTCTCACTGCACCCCAAGGATATGTGTAGGCACTCCCTCTCCTCTCTCACTCATTGCACCCAAGGAGGATATGTGTAGGTACTTCCCTCTCTCACTGCACCCCAAGGATATGTGTAGGTACTTCCTCTCTCTCACTGCACCCCAAGGATATGTGTAGGTACTTCCCTCTCTCACTGCACCCCAAGGATATGTGTAGGTACTTCCCTCTCTCTCACTGCACCCCAAGGATATGTGTAGGTACTTCCCTCTCTCACTGCACCCCAAGGATATGTGTAGGTACTTTCCTCTCTCACTGCACCCCAAGGATATGTGTAGGTACTTCCCTCTCTCATTGCACCCCAAGTATATGTGTAGGTAATTTCCCTCTCTCACTGCACCCCAAGGATATGTGTAGGTACTTCCCTCTCTCACTGCACCCCAAGGATATGTGTAGGTACTTCCCTCTCTCACTGCACCCCAAGGATATGTGTAGGTACTTCCCTCTCTCACTGCACCCCAAGGATATGTGTAGGCACACTTCCCTCTCTCACTGCACCCCAAGGATATGTGTAGGTACTTCCCTCTCTCACTGCACCCCAAGGATATGTGTAGGTACTTCCCTCTCTCACTGCACCCCAAGGATATGTGTAGGTAATTCCCTCTCTCACTGCACCCCAAGGATATGTGTATGTACTTCCCTCTCTCACTGCACCCCAAGGGATATGTGTAGGTACTTCCCTCTCTCACTGCACCCCAAGGATATGTGTAGGTACTTCCCCTCTCTCACTGCACTTCCCCCCAAGGATATGTGTAGGTACTTCCCTCTCTCACTGCACCCCAAGGATATGTGTAGGCACTTCCCTCTCTCACTGCACCCCAAGGATATGTGTAGGCACTTCCCTCTCTCACTGCACCCCAAGGATATGTGTAGGTACTTCCCTCTCTCACTGCACCCCAAGGATATGTGTAGGTACTTCCCTCTCTCATTAGGTCCCAAGTATATGTGTAGGTAATTCCTCTCTCACTGCACCCCAAGGATATGTGTAGGTACTTCCCTCTCTCACTGCACCCCAAGGATATGTGTAGGTACTTCCCTCTCTCACTGCACCCCAAGGATATGTGTAGGTACTTCCCTCTCTCACTGCACCCCAAGGATATGTGTAGGTACTTCCCTCTCTCACTGCACCCCAAGGATATGTGTAGGTACTTTCCCTCTCTCACTGCACCCCAAGGATATGTGTAGGTACTTCCCTCTCTCACTGCACCCCAAGGATATGTGTAGGTAATTCCCTCTCTCACTGCACCCCAAGGATATGTGTAGGTACTTCCCTCTCTCACTGCACCCCAAGGATATGTGTAGGTACTTCCCTCTCTCACTGCACTTCAAGGATATGTGTAGGCACTTCTCTCTCTCACTGCACCCCAAGGATATGTGTAGGCACTTCCTTCTCTCACTGCACCCCAAGGTTATGTGTAGGCACTTCCCTCTCTCACTGCACCCCAAAGATATGTGTAGGCACTCCCCCCTCTCACTGCCCCCGAAGGAAATGTGTAGGCGTTCCCCACTTTCATTGCACCCCAAGGATATGTATAGGCACTCCCCTCTCTCACTGCACCCCAAGGATATGTGTAGGTACTTCCCTCTCTCACTGCACCCCAAGGATATGTGTAGGCACACCCCTCTCTCACTGCACCCCAAGGATATGTGAATGTATTTTCCTCTCTCACTGCGCCCCAAGGACATGTGTAGGTAATTCCCTCTCTCACTGCACCCCACTGATATGTGTATGAACTACCCTCTCTCACTGCACCCCAAGGATATGTGTAGGTAATTCCCTCTCTCACTGCACCCCAAAGATATGTGTAGGCACTCCCCTCTCTCACTGCACCCCAA